CAGAAAACATTGTTGAAAATGAAAATTACAAAGGCAGGAGCTTTCATTCCTCAGGGTCAGAGCCGTTCATAAACAAGAATATTAAAGATAGTCAGCTTGTATTTAATGCACTTTCTGTGCATGGCAGGGACTGAAGGCTCATTGCGCTAGCGGATGTTTGCTAGGGCAGTGGGACTCTCTTCCTCTTTCTTCCCTGCTGCAGCATGGAGCATCGGGAAGATGTCTGGTTTGGAGGGTTCCCCAGCCTTCCAGAGAAGATGTTGATGGTACATGGAAGGGAGCCACAGGGTAGAGGTGTAATCTCAGCCCCCCAGTTCTGTGGATGAAACTGCTTCTGTCAGCAGAATGACAGCCCTGGATCTGAAGTTTGAACTTTCATCCAAAGGCAGTTCTTCAGAATTAATCAATTAGTATTATGTTTAAAGGAAAAAGAGGCTAGTATCCAATATTGGACAGTTTATTATCAATTGTCAATTGACAATAAATTAATAAATTAAATTAAATTAAAAATTAACTGCCAGAAGTAATATATGTGAACTATATACCTGAATCAGACACCAAATTAGTTATTATTTTGGCTTAGTCAAATGTCTAGTCTCTATTCTAGCTTTTTTACTAAAATTCTAAGGGGATAGTAGACACTTCTGCTTAGTTTCACCTTTCCATGAAAAGTTTTCAGCCATTGCCTTTTTCACAAATAATTGTACTTCTATTATTTTATTTTGGACCAATGAATGAAATTAGTTCTTACCTCAAAGCCCTTACAGTTGGAAAGAGAAATAAGAATCTTTTCTTTTGTGTTCAGTTGTATTAACAAATTTTCTAATACTGAAGGATTTCTCTGTATAGTCAGATCCAGATGAAAGTACCTCCAATTGTTAGCTAAGATGCTTGGTAATATCTTACTTCCTTGGTTGAGATGTGATGTGGAGCAAAGATAAAGCATTTCCCTTTTCTTCCTCAGGGATTCCCGATAAAGCATTTTTCCAGAGGTAAAGTAGTTTAAATGAGCTCATTTGTATGTTGTCTGATGTCCAATTTCTATTACCTGAAACTTTTAACAGAGGTAGATATCTACCTAGGGCTTCTCTACCCCAGACATTTAATATGCACTCATGATTTTTTACAGGATGTCATTTTCCTTTCCCATGTCGACTGCCATTCTTCTACAGCCTTTTAGAAGAAGACTAATCCATTTTCTTTTAGAATTTCTTTTAGTCCCTATTGCATGTTAAAAGACTGTGGATTTCTGGAATTGCACTGTATCACAATGCTGCCTCATGGTTGTGTAACAGAACATATAGGAAGGCGGAGAAAGAAAACCCCTGGGAAGAAAGCACATGCAAATAATGATCTTAGTCCTGCAAAGAAAACAGAAGAAGTCCCAGTGAACCACCAGGTTAAACATCTCATGTGGAGAAGACCTGGAGTAGACTCACTGAAATGATGAGTTAGTCATGAGATCTACAGCTGGCTAGTCTTCCTCAACCTGCCCTCAACTTTGTTATAGGCCTACATCTCCTACAATTTCACTCAGCAAAGCCATACTGCCTGGGGAAGTAGTCTCATACACCAAGAGGGCAGCCATTTGGAAAAGGCTGATCCACATTAAGCTTGACTAAGTCAGTAATCCATTTATTGTGGGGACTTCTTTTGTTTTAATCTTAGCCTAGAAGGATGCTGATGTTAAGGCATTTGAGAAATGCAGCAGGTAAAAAGAACATTGCCATATGACTCATTTGCATTTTGAATCCATGCCATAATTTCCTCTTAGAATTGTGAATTCCATAATTCTAAGTGAATTCCAATCTAGTATTATAGTAGAGAAAAAAAAGTCTCTTATCCACCTTTTCTGCACTATGTGTAATTTTGCACACCTCTGTCTTCCTTTACTCACTTTTTTCCTAAGCTAAACAATTTCAGATGCTGTAATCTTTCCCCTTAAGCGAGTTGCTCCGGCATATGGCTTTTAAGTTATCCTTTTGGGCACTTTCTCCAACTCTGCAATGTCATTTTTAGGTCTACTGACCAGAACAGTATACAGTGTAATTGTTCATACTATTTTATCAGTTTTATCATCAATTCCTTTCCTAATTATACCTAGTATGGGCTTTACTGTTCTTAGAAGCCATACACTGCAGTTGATATTCTCATCAAGCAGTCCATCACAACCTCAATTATTTCTTTCTTGGTTACTCACCAGTAGCTAAGATCCCATCAACTTTTATTTGAAGTTGGAATTTTATATTGTATGACATGGATGCTACTATAGTGATTTAATTGTCTTCACAGTATTGTTCAAGAGAATCTTAGTAACTTCAAATGTCACTATTTCATGTTAGTAATAATTGTGTTTCACTAGTTTTTTCAGTTAAAATGTTGAGGGCAGTATTTCTCTGACTCCTTACATTTTTGGGTATTATTAGGAAGTTCCTGTAATGTTTTTGCCTTCTAGAAATATGTATGTATCATCATCATCATCATCATCATCATCATCTGTTTCATGACCCCAAAGGAATTGGACTATTTGCTCAACAAACCCAGTGAAAGCTACATATTTCTTCTATGCTGTTTGGGCTTACTGGACTCTAGAACCTCAAGAACTTTCTTCATAAGTATCAGACAATTTTGCATGCAGACTTATGACATGTATATAGAACTGCACTTCAGACTTCCAATTTTCATATTTTTCCCAGAACAGGCACTCCTTTCAGTGAAAACAAGAAAGACAGGTTGCTAGTCACCTGACCAAAACAAAGATACAAAACTCTATATAAACGGAACTTGAAAATACCTGCTTTGTGCAGGGTAAATCCATGCATACTTAAACAGAAGCATTACTGTGTCACGCAGCTTCTATCCAGGAAACTGCATTAGCAGTGCAATCACTCAGCAATGTCACTCACTGTGAGGCAGGGAAGGTGCTCAAAAGAGACTTAAGAATTGGGAAGAAAAATGATATTGGGAAGGAAATGTTTTATGTCATAGAATCATAGAATAGTAGAGTTGGAAGGGGCCATGAAGGCCATTGGGTCCACCCCGCTGCTGTTGCAGGATACCATGTTACAATATCCTACTCAGATGGCTGCCCAGTTTCTTTTTGAATGTCTCTAGTGTGGGAGAACCCACCACCTCTCTAGGCACCTGGTTCCGCTGTCACATTGCTCGGACAGTGAGGAAGCTTTTCCTGATGTCCAGCCTGAATCTGGGTTGTTGCAACTTGAACTGATTATTCCGTGTCCTACACTCCGGCATCAGCAAGAAGAGATCTCATCCTTCCTCTTTGTGACAGCCTTTGAGGTACTTATAGAGGGATATCATGTCCTCCCTTAGTCTTCTCTTCTCAAGGCTGAACATGCCCAGTTCTCTCAGTCTCTCCTCATAGGGCAGCATTTCCAAACCCTGGATCATTTTTGTTGCCCTCCGCTAGACCCTTTCTAAATTTACCTGCATCTTTCTTAAATCTTGTGCCCACCACCTCAGCTACTGTAACTATGCTTGCTGAAAGGAAGATTTCCTCCAACTCTTCATAATGCCTTTAGAATAAGCAAGGTAATGGTCTCGAAAAATTGAGAGGAAATTTTGATAGGCAGAGCTGGGCAAGTGAGGTAGGTGGATGCATTGAGCTGTTCTTTGTTTGAAGTTAGCACAAGTCCAGCTGCCACTGATTTTTTTTTATAGCCTCAGTTTTCCATCTTCTGGAGAGAGTGACTTGTTCTTTACAATGGATGTTGGTATACCAAATGTTTAGGCAAACTGGTACTGCCAAGTACTTTGCATATGTTGGTGCAGACCTCTGAAGAAAAGATTTTTGGAACCTATCATGAAAGCCAAAATATTCAGTTCAATTTAAACAATGGAGTGTTCGATTTTAAAAACAGCACATTTTCCTATATCCAGTGTTTAAACAAACAAAACTTCTGACATTAAATGTTTCAGAGTTAGTGTCACTTACCTTAACAGCATAGTTGGTGAATAGCTATTGGCTTTCTTAGCATGCCTTAACATCCAGATGCATATTTTTAACAAACAATTGTCAGCCCACCACAATGGTCATTCCAGTCCCCCCCCCCAACCAATGTCATAGAACATGATGGACTGTTTTAAAAAGGTTCAGTTTTGAGAAACAAATTTTGAGAAACAAATTCCGTATGTGCTATGTCCATTGAGACTGAATATGTAAGCTACAAGTCAGTGCAACTCATGAAGCACAGATAGAAATTTGTGCATCACAAAGGGTGTTGCTAAGTATATGAGCTGCTGCTAGCTACTATTTCTAGCTGTCATGAAATCAGTGTGCACACGAAGGTCATCTGATCTGGAATTGACAAAGAGATGCATTATTGCTTCAGCTTTTAAAGGAAATGGGCATATGTCAGAGCCCATAAAGCAGGGCTAGGCAATTTGTGACCCTCCAGTTGTTTTGGTTTACAACTCCCATCATCCTTAACCATGAAAAGGGAGGGGAGTTATCCCCTTCTAGATGTTCTGGTCTACAAGGTGCCCACACCCTGCTATAATGCTATGATATGAGAGCCAGTGTGGTGTAGTGGTTAAGAGCATGGGACTGGGACTCAGGCGATCCGGGTTCTAGTCCCCGCTCAGCCATGGAGCCAACTGGGTGACTTTGGGCCAGTCACGACTCTCAGCCCAACCTACCTCACAGGGTTGTTGTTGTGGGGATAAGATGGAGAAGATGTAAGCTGCCTTGAGCCCTTTGTAGGAAAAGGCAGGATATAAATAGAAAAATAAATAAATAAATAAATAAATATTCTTAACAATTTTCTTCAATCTGCTATTCAACTATACTTCCTACTTTTACTAATTTTACCTCCAACATGGAGATATTTTGTCATATTTGATGTTCATCATAGAAAGTTCTATAGAGTACAGTGGCTTCTTGTCTTTGTGGCTCTAGAAGTTGGGCTCCGATTCCACCTAAGCATGTTGTCATCCATCCATCCATCCATCTCAAAAATAGGTAATTACAGGACTACAAATCTTTTTAAAAGTATTCATTAACATTCTGCAGCATATAAAATGTTACATACTATGACAAAATATTTAACAGGGAGAACAAAAAGCACAATAGCAGCAAGGTATTAATATCTAACTACATTACTTTAAAATAATTAAAATACAGAGAATGAAAGTAACAAGACAGTGATTTGGAGGTCAGTCTCTCAGATGGTTACTGGTGCGAGATCTGCGCCCTTTCACAGTTCCCAATGATTCCAGTGGGGCTTCCACATGAATTGTGTTCTTGTTAAATGAACTAACCAGTAATGGAAGATGATTATCACTTTTGACTTCTGAAGGGCATTAAAAAATTCAGAAGAATCAGTAAACAATGATACATCAATACTGTTTTTACTCTTAAGAAAAATCAGTGTTAATTTCCATATTACCTTTCTAGAGTACCCAACGAACTTCAATGGAATTTTTACAGTGCAGGTTCAGCTTTCAATTCATTTTAAACATTTAATACAAGAACCTATTGCATTTATTACTAATCAGTTTCCTTACCTATGCTAAAGTTTATTTTTTCTCCACAAAAGCAGATAGCTGTGGAGAATAATTAGATGTCATATAGTGTAAAAATATAGTGTTTAAAACACTGAAACAATGTGTATGAATTAAAACTGTACAGCATCTGTTTTTGTTCAATTACATCACACTTAAGTGAACAAAAATAGTTGAGTTCTACATGCTCCAGAGGTTTTTTTTTCAAGGATTCAAAAGTCCAAGCAGGCAAGGGAAGTAGTAAATATGCTGGAATTCAACACACTGCCAAACAAACTGAAAGATCTGAACAAGTCATGGAAACCATCTTTTCACAAGAATTAGCATGGCTGTCTTTCACAGTTCTCTTCATGTAGGACACAAAACTGTAAAAGAAGATACCTATGCATGAGTATTACTGTATTGGCTCATCTCAAAGCAGTGTTAGGTACAAACTAATCAAACTGGAACACTTAGGGCACAATCCTGTGCATGTTGGGACAGAAGAAAATCCTACAACTTCCAAGCACATTGTCATCAAACTGGGAGTTGTATGACTTTTTTCAGTCTAAACATGAATAGGATTGCAACCTTAGTTCTATATTCTAGAAGCTTTACCAAATTAAAAGTAATTGTTATACATAATGAATATGAACATCATCCCCATCACACAAACAAAACAAATCCATAAAGGAACACACACATACTACCATCAACTACTTGCTTACAGAAATGAGTTAAATAGAAGATCATGTCTTTAACACTGGGATTAATTTCTTTTAACAAGGAAGATGTATACAGAATTCTCTGAAGAATTCTCTGGTACTTCATGTAGCACTAATGAAAGAGCATTTTAAAGACTCAGGGGCAAAGTGTATTTTCTCTCCTGACATGTAGAGCCTATAGATTATGTACAGAGTGAGTCAAGACATGTCCTTTACATATTCCTCATTCCTGTTTCACATCTAGAAAACACAAACCTCAGAGCAATCCAGCTTTCAAACCAATGCTAGCACAACACAAAAGCAAATGAAGAAGTCAGATTTCATTTAAAGTATCGAAATAAGCACATATATTTCCTTATTATCAATTTGCTAACCTTAAAGAGTGTAATTTATTTAAAAATAAATCTGTATCTTTTTAGTAATAAAAAATAAATGGGCATTGAACACTGATTATATAATTTAAATTAGTACAAGAAAAACAAACTAGCAAGCAAAAAACTCAAGGCCTAAATCTATACAAAAAGTCATAAAATATTCTTTCATCTTCCTCTTACAATTATTTTTATTGTTTCTATAGTGTCCAATACCTAAAGCTCTCTGGGCTACTCACACCAACAGATAAAATACAATAGACATATTGACAGAAGGCATTCTAGATACTTTAGCAATGAAAGTTAATACTACAATATGCCACAATTTAAAACACTGTACAGTTAAAACAAAATATTGCTTTTGGTTTTTATGAAGATGCTCTTCAAACAGAGCTAGTGAGGTATAAAGTCTCTTTTCGACCTTCAAAAAAGTTACATGGGCCTCACTGAGATGAGACAGAAGCAAATAGCCTTTAGTATTGGCAGCTTCAAACATATGGCAAGCTGTTTAGAACTGTCATGCATGCTGCTGGCAGGCAGATGTGTTTCCCCCCAGCAGCATTAATGAAGGGGTCTTAACTCTGAGTAATCTCCAAAATGCATGCAAATGGCTTGCATCCTTTATGAATTAGGGATGTGTCTAACACCAAGAAATCAAGCTTGAGTTCAGTAAGTTCCTACCCACTTCCAGATCAGAAGTTAATGAGCCTGATTTTCTTTTAGGACCTCCACCTCTAAGACATGCCACGATTTGTGCATTAAAAACACCTTTGTGTGATTTGCACACACTGGACATGGAAAACTAAATCTTTCTAATATTATTTACACAAATGATGCCAAACTGATAAAAAATTACCTAAATCATGCCAGGTTTTTGGATTCTAATTTGTGCAAATCACACTAGAATGGTGTATTTTTCAACTTTCAATTTGCACAAACTGAATGTATTGTCTTGACATTTTTAAATGTACAAATCATGGCCCATCTTAGAAATTGACATTTGTGAGCTGGCTGGACCTGCACCACACTAAGTTGGTGTCAATGTGTGGCTGGCAAACCAGAACTTGGGGAGACAAATTGTGAAAAGCCATTAGACTTTCACTCCTTCCTTGGATTCTTCACAAATCTCTAGCATGGTCAGCAACAGAGGTTCTCTCAGAACTCTTGACTCTTAGGTGTCTTGGGGGTCCATGGAGAATGACAGAAATCTGGTTACTGTTAATTCTGGAGAAAGCAGTTCTTGGTCTACGTTTCAGCCCATGCAGGAGAAATTGACTGACATGCATAATGGGTGGATGGAAAGAGTAGAAGCTTGGATAGGAGATATGCTGGAGGTCATGTGAAAAAATTTTTGTAGCAGGCTTGAGACCTGTTTTGCCCGGAAGACTCTGGCATAACCCAGTCATGATTAGATATCTTTAAATCCCATTCTATGAAAGTTAAGTATGTATTGTATAAATTAAGCCAAATATCGTAACATTAGTAATATATATTTCACAATTATTGTGCTACTCTCACCAAATAAATCACTACTGCAGTTTTCTTATGGATATTCTAGATTATATTTACAGGTAAGGGCCTGAATTTGAGATAAAAATCAGTGCTGCTCAGTTCAAGAACTTAACTGTCAAAACCAGTGTTTTAAAGTAAACATTGTATACTCTGTATATTGTATACAGAGTCTATATATAAACATTGTATAATATACAATGTATAAACAATGTCTATATATAAACATTGTATACTCTGTATACTCAGAGTATATTGTATACTCTGACTGTTTGAAAAGTTAATGTATGCCTGACAACATGTGCACTCACCTTTCAAAATGTAATCTGTTAATAAGCTTGGCACTTTTTCACTGTCTTCTTTCATTGCATGAAGAACTGTGGAGACGATCAGTGAAAGAGCAGCTGTTTAGATAATTACTTTCCATATGAACATGCAATTTAGAGCAGCTGTATTAAAGGGAATTCTGCACACCACTTTCCCCTAATTTTATCCAAGAAAAAGAAAAAGATCCCCCACCCCAAATCCCTATTTCTGATAAGCAGAAACAATAAGCAGTCATAGTGGTCATAATTAAAACATAAAGTACCATAAAACAATTATACATATTGATAATACACATTTTTAATCTCAGTATTTTAATAACTAACAGCAGCCAAGCAAGTGGAAATGATACCTTAAAATACCATATGGTCCATGAACTGATTCAACAAGATAATTGACATTCATTGGGTATATCTATTCCTTGTGTAGCAGGGGACTCAAGTGGAACCTAGGATAGAGAAAGCTCTAAAGCAGCACATGCATATCCCTTTTAGTGGTTGCTTTGACAGGTTAGGCTGAACATCAACACAACTAAGTAAATAAGCAAGCAATCCTTGGAGGCAGAACAGATGCAAAGGCTACTGGAAGAAACCAGGAGCCAACTAGTATTAGGTTCTCAAAGTTGATCTTCCAGCCCTTTGCCACTGAGTGTATGGAGAGCACCTGAATGAAGAATATCAAACAAGTCACGGAAGTCATGAACCATGATAGAGAATCAAACTGCAGAAGCTCCTTCATACTTCAAGGCTTCTCATCTAAATGTAGTCTGGACCTTCTGATAGTAATGTAAGGAGCTGGTATATATTTTCATAGCACTGAGGTATCAAAATTATTTATAAGAGAAAATTTCTCCACAATCCCTTCATCCTGAATTTGTTGATTCTTCACTGCACTGGGGATATCTTTAGTCATTAATTAATTTTGTCCTATGGAGCATTCCAACCTGTCCTAAAATCTGGTAATGCAGTGAAGGAAAAGCTAGAGATAAAATGTCATGGACATCACAGGTGCCCTTCCACTTTGACAGTTACGTTGTAAACCAGATTGATCCAGCAGCATAGTAAAACTGGTGGATACTCAAACTTTAATTCAATTTCCTAGAAAGGCACCAACTGAATATAAACAGCATTACAATAATTATAGTCTCTTTAAATATTACATAATCCTATTTGCAAATAAAATCAAAACTGACAGTCTGAATGAAAGGCCAAGAAACTGCATTATTTCTCACATTTGTAATGGCTCTGAATGATGCCTCTAAGATTTCCAAAACAAATTGTGTAAATGTCAGAAGATTAGATATAAAAAGCATTGTATGTTTATGTATTTGTTACATGTATAATATTTAATTGTTATATATAAAGCACTGCCCAGGTATGGCTTGGCTGATCCTTCTTCAGTTTCCACATGCTTTGGATAACTTCCAGCATTCCTGACCAGCCATGTTGGCTGAGGCTTACAGGATCTGATGTCCAAAATATTTGGAGGGTACTGTTTAACAAGGGCGGTCTTCCTTCTTAAACTAAAGATGCCCTTAGCTGCTATTCTTTGGCACAAATGTGGCCTCTGGCCACATTAAAGAGAAGAGGTGAAAGCTATATCCCCCGTAGGTCTGACTGGCTCCTGTCTGGGTCCCAGAAGCAGGAGACTGTAGTATCACTATTTGTGGCCAGCAAGACTGGAGGGGTAGATGCTAGGTCTCTTTCTAGCTGCTTCATCCTCTAAATAATCTAATTATTATTTTTAAAGCACTTCCAAAACAAGCACTATACAATCATGTTCAAAGCAGCTCCTGTCTGCAACAGGCTTAGATTCAAATAGACACAGGTAACCATTTAAGTTGTTCACCTGTATTTTGATGAGGGTATTTTTACTACTTCTCTTTTCTGAATATATAATTTTAAGTTCAATAAATCAATACATTGAACAGTTTCAATGCAGAAGAGCAAGATGGGGGTGTGCATCTCATTCATGTATCTGAACAGTGTCCAAAATCGTATCTGCATTATTTAATGAAGGAAGGAGTGAGATGAGAAAATTTCCTAGAAGAAATTTTATCCAAATGAAACTTCTTGGACTTGCTTTTTAAATACTAAATAGAAGACAATTCAGCTTAAATCCATCATTATAATTTTCACTCAATAAGAAAACACAGTTGGGAAAAGAAGTACAGAATAACTTGTCTACTTATTATGCTCCTAAAGAAGAACTAAAGTTCTAGGGATGCCTGCAAGATTATGTCTATGAAATTTCTATAAAAGTAGCTATGATTCACTTTCATTTCTTGAAAGCCATTGGCATTACTCCAGGAAGGAACTCTTGGAATGTGAAAAACATTTATGCCTACATGGTTTTAATTCATGTCTATGAAACACTCCTCCCACAGCAAATTCAGTAATGACTTCAGTACACAACAGCTCCAATGTCCAAAAAAGGAAGAGGTATTTGGGATCAGATGCATTTGTGTGGCTTGAAGAACATAAAAAATGTGCTTTAAGAATTTGCAAAATTTGGAAAATCTGGCGAAGAGCATAAGCTTTTGGATTTATTGTTGAACTAATCCTCCAATTGTAAACCAAATATAAGCCTAACTCTAAGCATGGTTACTGTGTCTAATCAAACGATAGAACATATTCCCCCATACAGTAGTTAGTATTTAAAAAACTACCAAAAAGGATACTGTTTCCAAAATCAAAAATGGAGTAATATTTTGTTATGGAAAGTACCACTGTTGAATTCTGCTTGAATTGTGATACCCAATCACAAGAAACTGCTTTTTAAAGACTGTGTAACATGTACAGGTGCATTTCAAGTGGAAGAACTAAGCTGCTGCAAAATTGTCCACAGCAGTTGCTGTAGGTTTCCCTGATTTTCTTTCAGATTGATTTTAAAGAAAGTGAGGCTAATTTATAATTAAAAGTTCACCATACAGAGGAGTGAAACAATGCACAACTTCTATAAAAAAGAGCAGAACCCAAGCTTCATTTGTATTTATGAGTGGCATAAATGTAATATTTGGTTCTTTAGTCCAAGAACTGTCAACTGTTTTGCACTGAAATTACACTCATGCAACAGCTAAGAAACTAGTGCTCTAAAGAAATTAATTAGCAGATAGAGTCAGAAAGTCCATCACTGAATTAGGACTCAAGTTTCAGCTAGTCTGTGGAAAATGACACCATTAGCTCTTTACATAGCACTGTGGTTCCAAACCTTTATGAATGATGAAGGGACATTTCAATAATGTTTTCCCTAGTTGAGAATCAGTGCCTTCATTCTGGCTTTAATTCTTACTAAGCAGCTTATACCTATCATTGGTGAAAACATATTTTAGCACATGCAGGAGAGAGGGTTTATCTTTAACATAACTGTGTGGAAGTTTTAATTATTATGGTTATCTTTGGATACAGACAGGGAGCCCAGAGTGGTTTGGCTAATCATACATGTACTTGGCCTCTCCTGACTGTTTAAAACTAAATGGTAGAAATTAGCCTGGGTGACTGTGTTTGCATGAAATGGCAACCCATCATTGGCAACTAGTCACAGTGGGCTGCAGTGTCGTATTAACTTAGAACTGTTCTTGAAGGTTTGGGGCTCAACCCAAGAAATGGTTTGTTGTAGGGGTTAAACCAATGATGCGTTGCAGTTTTGTCTGAATCCAGAAGACTGATCCAACTGTGGGTTGTGGCAAGCAAGTTGTTCAGTAAGAAGAGCAACCAACCCCACAAACTGCTCTTGGCAATCTTTTCTGTGCCACCAGTAGTGACAGTCATTCCACCAATGCCCAAGCTGAAATTTTGAGATACTGGCTTGCTATCTCTTACTTTGAAAGAAAGCTACAAATGTATGCACTTGAGACGGTTTTTAACCTTTTTGGGAGAGGGGCATCCTTTGGAGGTGTGCAATTATGACTGCCTGAAATGTGGAGCCTTGCCTGGCCAGTACCCTGATAAGCGCCTGCTCTCAAAGTGCAGCAGGCAGGTCCCACGGACACTAACAAAATGAGAGTGCACGTAGATTGATTAGCTAACTAACTAATTTATTTTCTATACTGTCCAATAGCCAAAGCTCTCTGGGCAGCTCACAACAGCACATTAAAAATCCAATATAAAACACACCATAGTAAAATAGAATAAAATGTTTACAATGCAAAATTTTAAAACAAATCAGTAATGAAGAGGCTTTTGCCCCAAACAGCAGTGGTGAATCTCTCCCTCAATTAGTAGTGTGATTTCCTTGTTTTCAAGTACTATCCTGTCAGTGTGCTCCACCTTCTCCACACTTCCCTGAACCTCTAGGTTGGGGTGGTCCAACACATGGCCTAAGGGTGGCCCCCAAGGCCTTGCTCCACTGCATGCTGGAGAGTTTGTCAGCTCATGTACATAAGGCTCAGTGAATCAAGTGGGTCATATGGGAAGGTTTCTGGGTGGAAGAAACAGGGAAGAAAGGAACAGACCAGAGAAGTGGGCATTGTACCTGTGCCTGGAGAAGAAGCTGTCATTCATTTAGTCCTAAAATCATCTTAAAATTAAGCAGTGGTTTCTCCCTCAGTTAATGGTTAAATATTTTAATTGGGGATATTAAATAAACATATTGCATATACTTTAACACAATATGGAAATGTAATTCATTTTGCAGCCACTGTGTTGTGTGTCATTATGTGGCCTTTGAGGTACAAAAGGTTGGCCCTCCCTGCTCTATATACTCCAGAAAGTAAGATCCAGATTCCACTCATATTTTGTACATACTTTTGACAGCCTTTACCCAGATTTCATGGTTACATATTTCCCTATTCTCTGACCTACAAAATCCTTAAATTTTCCAGATTTTTCTTGTACAGAACCCTTTAACAGGTGCCAAAAGCAAGTGTTTCTAAAAAGGGCATGGGATATATATATATATATATATATATATATATATATATCCCTTCAAGAAGACCCTGGGAAACTGGGAGTGAAAGAACAACCCATGGTAAAACTGATTTTCTTTTGGGTGTATCATGAGTTGTTCATAAACCCTAGCTGCACAGTTTATACACTGGGGGTGTGTGTCATGTCATGTGAACTTCCCCACTGATTTGAGAATATTAATGTATGCCCAATGGCTAAACTACATGGTGCACTGAATATCTACTCAGCATTTTAAAAACGTTTAGCATAAGCACACAGAATCCTGAACTGGACCACTGTGTGCATGTGGGGGAGGGGGGGATTAATCCTTCCTACCTAGCCACTTATCTCCTTTATTTTACCCATCCCTACCAAGAAATACTCCTTCATGGATCACTGCCTTGTCGTGGTGAAGGGGCTTGTGTAGCTCAATGAAGCTATGAGCTATGCCGTGCAGGGCCACCCAAGACAGACAGGTCATAGCAGAGAGCTCTGACAAAACGTGATCCACTGGAGAAGGAAATGGCAACCCACTCCAGTATCTTTGCCATGAAAACCCCATGGACAGTACCAAAAGGCAAAAAGAGATGACGCTGGAAGATGAGCCCCTCAGGTCGGAAGGTGTCCAATATGCTACTGGGGAAGAGCGGAGGGCTAGTACTAGTAGCGCCAGAAAGAATGAAGCGACTGGGTCAAAGCCGAAAGGACACTCAGTTGCAGATGTGTCTGGTGGTGAAAGGAAAGTCCGATGCTGCAAACATCTACACTCCATAGGAACCTGGAATGTAAGATCCATGAATCAAGGCAAGCTGGATGTGGTCAAACAAGAGATAACAAGACTGAACATCGACATCTTAGGAATCAATGAACTAAAATGGACAGGAATGGGTGAATTGGATTCAGATGATCATCAGGTATACTACTGCGGGCAAGAATCCCTCAGAAGAAATGGAGTAGCCTTCATAGTCAATTAAAGAGTAGGAAAAGCAGTACTGGGATACAATCTCCAAAATGACAGAATGATCTCAGTTCGAATCCAAGGCAAACCATTCAACATCAAAATAGTCCAAGTCTACGCCCCAACCACTGGTGCTGAAGAGGCTGAAGTTGACCGGTTCTATGAAGGCCTACAACACCTTCTAGAATTAACACCAAAAAATGAAGTCCTTATCATCATGGGGGATTGGAATGCTAAAGTAGGAAGCCAAAAGATAACTGGAATAACAGGCAAGTTTGGCCTTGGAGTACAAAATGAAGCAGGACACAGGCTGGTAGAATTTTGTCAAGACAATACGATGGCCATAGCCAGGGCTTTTTTTGTGATAGAACGCACTGGAACGGCGTTCCGGCACCTTTTTTTCCAATGGATTTTATGAAGTGATTTTGAATCGTAGCAGGTCAGCAGCAAATATCATTAACATAGTGCCTGCAGGCTGCTTTTGTGTCTGCTATCTGATAGTGAGATACTGAGGGCGCTGCTCTCACTGCTCGGCTTGGGATTGGTGTGTGCGGTCGCGCGCTTACTGCTGGTGACGTGAGTTCCGGTACCTTTTTTTTTTTTACAAAAAAAGCACTGGTCATAGCAAACACTCTTTTCCAACAACCCAAGAGACGACTCTACACATGGACATCACCAGACAGTCAGCACAAAAGTCAGATTGACTATGTGCTCTGCAGCCAAAGATGGAGAAGCTCTATACAGTCAGTAAGGGAACTAGACCAGGAGCCGACTGTGGCTCAGATCATGAGCTTCTCGTTGCAAAATTTAGGCTTAAATTGAAGAAAGTAGGGAAAAGCACTAGGCCACTCAGGTATGACCTAAATCATATCCCTGATGAATATACAGTAGAGGTGACAAATAGATTTAAGGAATTAGATCTGATAGACAGAGTGCCTGAAGAACTATGGTTGGAGGTTCGCAACATTGTACAAGAAGTACCAACTAAAACCATCTCAAAGAAAAAGTAATGCAAGAAAGCAAAATGGCTGTCTGAGGAAGCTTTACAAATAGCTGAGGAAAGAAGGGAAGCGAAAGGCAAGGGATAAAGAGAAAGATACACCCAACTGAATGCAGCATTCCAGAGAATAGCTAGAAGAGATAAGAATGCCTTCTTAAATGAACAGTGCAAAGAAACAGAAGAAAACAATAGAATAGGGAGGACCAGAGATCTGTGTGGTAATTACTGGGGCTAAATTCATAATGTCCCTGATAACCACAATGGGGTGGTCACTAACCTCAAGCCAGACATCCTGGAATGTGAAGTCAAATGGTCCTTAGGAAGTCTGAGCAACAACAAAACTAGTGGAGCTGACAGTATTCCAGCTGAGCTATTCAAAATCTTAAAAGATGATGCAATAACAGTGCTACACTCAATATGCCAGCAAATTTGGAAAACTCAACAGTGACCACAGGATTGGAAAAGGTCAGTTTACATTCCGATCCCAAAGAAGGGCAATGCCAAAGAATGTTCAAACTACCGCACTATTGCACTCATTTCACATGCTAGCAAAGTGATGCTCAAAATCCTACAAGCTAGGCTCCAGCAGTATGTGGACTGAGAACTACCAGAAGTACAGGCAGGATTTCGAAGAGGCAGAGGAACTAGAGATCAAAATGCCAACATACGCTGGATCATGGAGAAAGCTAGGGAGTTCCAGAAAAACATCTACTTCTGCTTCATTGACTATGCTAAAGCCTTTGATTGTGTGGATCACAACAATTGTGGCAAGTTCTTAAAGAGATGGGAGTACCAGACCATCTTATTTGTCTCTTGAGAAACTTATATGTGGGTCAAGAAGCAACAGTGAGAACTGGACATGGAACCACTGATTGGTTCAAAATTGAGAAAGGAATTTGGCAAGGCTGT